AATCAAAACTTTAGACCAACCATATCACAAAGTCCCATCCAACATATAATGCCACACCACTCACAAGATGAAAATACTTATGAACAAATTATAGAACAACCCCATACCACCGCTTTTCAGTCTCAAAATAATAATTTTTTTAGCCCACGATGAGCCGACAACTTGGATCCCTACACCGATCAAATTCCCACCCAACCAACCTCACCACTCCAATCCAAATAATACCACTTTTTGCTTTTCCGCCACCCGATTTCCCCACCAGTAATGTAACATCCGGCATGAATTCCAATACTAATTCACACATCTCAGTTTTATACTCCATCTCACAGCTCAATAACCCGAATATTGAAACCCCCGATGAATTTGCCGACTCTGAACCATCTCCATCAAATAATTTTCACACCAACTCCTCAAATTTTTCTCAACCCCCTTTTCAACCCATACTACCAAATAACCCTGACCCAACCAATTCTACACCCTCTTATGCTTCCCAAGTCACTCCAACCTACTCCTCACTTCACTCAGACCAATCATCTCATTCTCCAGACACCCCCCGAATCTCCCCAGAACTAGATAATTTCATTACCCTACAACAACAACCCTACCACCTTGACACCCCAACCATAAACCAAATCTCATCCACAATAGATTCATCCAACCCTCCTACCCCTACACCCTCTTCAATTTATACTGAATCATTAGCACCATCATCCACAACTACTGAATCTTCACTTAGCACTAATAGAGCTTACCGCACTTTTAAAAGAAAGTTCCCCAACCATCCTTTCCCAGCGAAACCAGGAACAGCCCGTGAATATATCAACCATCCAAAACACACTAACACAAAAGAATTTTTAGCTATCACCTTACCCTCATTTCCACAATACACCTTAAACACCCCTCACGACACTAACGAAACACGTAACTTTGTAGACGAATACGTTTTAATGCCTACCCTTCCTTGGACCTCATATTATCATTTTACTAATCCCCTTTGCTTACCTTTGTCTTACACTCACAACGATATAGAACGAAATAAGGACATGCTATATCGACTCACTACACCACTAACACCTAGACAATTTACTTACATTGGATATAAAAAATCACTAAAAACACACACTGCACCCCGAGCAAATGAATATACACTAGAATATTACGATCATAACATCATCAGAACTAACCAAGATCAATTCTTGGACGACGATCGCTTCGCTAACCCACAAATCACCGAGAAATTTTTCATTAAAACACCATATGTATTTACACTAAATATCTTCGATCGCAAGTTTGACCACATTATTTCAGAAGCACTAACAGACACACAAGCCTACGAAATTTTTAAAGAACGCTTCCAAATATTTTCACTAACCTTTCATTTCCTTGCACCACATGAAAGAGATTTGCACTGCTCACACGATATTATGTTGCGAACTAAACAAACACACACATATACTTATTATCGTTTCATCCAAAATCACTTTGACCTACACACTCCCTCCAGACAACCACACCATCGTTTTCAATTCATCAATTCCAAATACACCTCACCATTCTTTCTTAACTTCACATATTGTATTAAAGATACTAACCTTCATGGTATTCTTCGAAATTATGATCCCATAACCCAAATGTATATTTTTTGTCCAATCACCAAGACCTTCAACGCAGAAGAATCCCGACCCTTCCTTATCCCACACGAGTTTGTACAACCTATAGAAATCCCCATTTTAGAATTCATCCATAACACTAAATTCAATCACAAATTATATAATCTAATCCAAAACACACCTTATGAATTTGCAGTTGGCACTGAAGAACTAACCACCATTAAAGCACTTCAATTGCTTTGGCCACTGCTTCAAACTAAAAATATCATCCGCATTTTAGCTAAATTACTAACAACTTCAGATCTCATCCACGACATCTTCCCCCACGGTTTCTTCCCCGACGACTAACAGGTAAGTATGAATTATACATATTACTAACTAATTTAAATATTAGAAACTCACCATTCTTTATCCATGTTTTCCTTAGAATTTTAGCCTTCATCCAACGATCATCTGAAAAATTCACAGAAGAAAAATAAAAATTAGCAAACTTCTTCAAAACTGTTTAAAACCCTATTAAATTTTTGCACCAACAATTAAATAAATATAATACCAATGCAGTAATTTAATATATAAATTTTTCCACCACAAGCAGTAAATCTAATAATGATGAAAATTTGTAACTTAATTTTCCCCAACAACTAGCAGTAAAATTGAAATTCTATGTAGTAAATTAATAAGAAGCAAATGCAGTACTAACTTTTTGATATTTCCATTCACTCGCACAAGAATTCTATCCAAACTCGCACAGCTCGCCCACCAAGAATTGTTTAAATAATGAATTTCAGTTTCAAGCTTTCACAACTCAACAACTCTAACACACGATAACAAGTTTCAAACTTTCCTTTAACCCGGTTGGAAAGGAATTATATACTAAACAAAACTAACCAATGCAGCTTACTAAACACCACAACACATAGCATAACAGCATGACTAAGAAAAAAGAAACCAACGGTACCCAAACCGGATTAACCCAGTTTAAAACTGGATAATTTATTCTTTTGAAGACTATTATAAAGTCTAAGAAAGAAATAATAAAACACAAAAAAGTCGAAAGACAAACCCATACCACAAACAATTTGATTTTTGAAAAAAGGACACAGCCAACAAAACATAAGAAAAACCACAACAAACCCAACATAAAACGTTGTCACATAACAGGACCTCTCACAAAAACCGCATGCAATCATACTCCCACTCCTGGCCTAACCCACCAGGAAGGACGTCCTGAGCATGCTCTATAGCCGGCCTAACCCACCGCGCTACATCCACGCTTTGTGACCACACTCCTATTTTTAATAAGAGCTACTCAAGGGTGAGTAACTCTTCAAAATAACTGAACTAAAACAAAAAGCTTTTGTGAAAACAACTAACTAAAATCATAATTAAAAAATATTAAACTAATAAAAGTTTTATAAAATGTAAATTACATCATGCAAAACATAGATCAGAATACAACACCAAGGACGAACATCCAAAGACAAAACGACCTCACAACACTCGAGAAAGAATGGCCAACTACAATCAATATGCCGCTCACAATCACAACTCAAAGGATTTAGAGTACGACTTGACTTCGCAGAAAAGGACTTCATTGAACTAGACCAATGACCAACTCGATGTTCAAGTATACGTACAGATCCGAGTAACCAGGCATCCCCTCCACGCACAATCTCCACGCCATTCCTAGACAAGATCAAAACACAAAGAAGTATTCATCAATGAAACAGAAAAACCTGACATAGCCAACCATTCTGAAATCAGATTTGAGTTTGTTGCGAAAACCCAGTCGTTGTCTTGAGAAGACACAACGATTGAATCTGGGACTTCTCTAATAAGAAAACCCAGAAGAAATAAGATGTTCGCCAAATACCAACGTCCATCATCCATCCTTTGAATTGCAGAAAGACTATTCTAAAAAACTCTGTAAAACCCGGATGGGTGGAACCTGATCTAAACTACATTTTATGATTGATTGGATAAATTAGATATTTTACCAATGTAAAGTATTTAATATTAACCAATCATGATCCATCTGACTAACAATCCACTTATTTGTAAGTGCTGAAATTACTTGTAATTTCAGCACCAGAGAGATTTGAATTTAACTTAGAAATTAGTTGAACTCTCCCGAGTACTTCAGCAGCCGCAATAAACCAGTATACCCTAGATCTATTGAGCCTAGCAGAGACTAGTTAAACAACCTGAGACTAGATAGTATAAGAGTAAGATTAGGATCGGTATTAGACTAAGAAGTTGCACGAATCTATCCGGCCGAAAATAAGATAGCGTGACGAGCAGACGGTGTACCCTATCCGAAATTACTCTATGAGTTATACCCATCGGTCCTAACTCACAAGAAAGGCCGTTTTAAATTTTTTGAGTTTTGGTCCAGTTTTGAGCGAGTAAAGCGATCAAGTAACGTCCGTTATTTGAAAATTTTATTTTTTATTTAGTCTTTTAGTGTAACCAAATTTGACTTTATTGAAAACAAACCAAATTTTCCCGGCGCTTCTTTGGCAAAGGAGCTTGTAAAAAAACGTTGACTTTTTTTTTAAATTAAGTCAACGTCCACGCACCAAAATTGCTACAACACTAATTTGAAAAAAAAACTTATAATCTCATCAAAAAATTGTTTTGCTCTGTGCGAGGCATTAGTTAAAATGTTTTTACAAGCCCTAGCTATACCACAAGAAACACGAACAGATAGTTGGAGTGTTTCTAGCAGCCAAATATTTGACAGCTGTAGTTTGTGTAAAGCAATTAGAAAAAACAAAAGAATTGAAAAATTTCGAATCAGTTTTTTCATTTTTTTTTTTTATTTTATTTACAACTGAATGGGCTTCAACAGGATACTGCTTTGATAATAAGAAGTCATTTGTTTTGTTTGACAATTTTTCTCTAGTGTTATCTGCTTGCAAAAAATACTTTAGCCTGTCTTAATTTTCTCCCACTGGTCGGAACAAAAACGACAAATAATTCAATAAAACTTACAACTTTTTTTCCCGTTTTCTTTTTAAAATGATAATTGTCAAAGCTACTGCGATCGTAGTTTCAAAATTTTGTACTACTTGTGCTGCAACCGGCAATAATTGTTTCACTTTAAAAATGCTTACGGCCAAACCCCGACCACCCATCACCCCGCCCCACTTAATTTCCCCCTAAATCCGCTACTACCATTTATTGAAAATATTTCCATTAGTTCTATATGAATATCCAATTTACTTAATACTTAAGTTAGTTTTACTGTGTCATTACGTTAGGTCAAGTCACTCTGATAAAATTGCATCTATTTTCAATCTGACATTTACAACCCAAAAATGACCAACTTAGTTTTTCAATGTGAAAATTTTTACATTATTGATAACTTGCTAACCTGGATTGTTTCAGACCTTTCCGAGAACTTTGACGACCAGTCCGTCGAAATGACAAAATGGGTTTGCCCTGGCCGTTATTTCTACATCGGGTGCGCCATTGTCGGTTGCGGTATCATTTATTCGAAATCGTGGCCGGCCGAAAAGTTGGTTTTAAACTTTTGCTCTGCTCTTGGATACGCTTTTCTATCATTTTGGGGACATACGATTCTGCAACATTTCGATGTTGCGATGTGGTTCGCGATTCTGACAATCGCCAATGTCGGCATACTTTGTTATCGGCTTCACGATTCGTTCGATGCTTTGAAAGCGCCTAGTGTGAATACGATGCCGCTTTACGAGATGTTGTTTGCGCCTATGAACGTGGATTTCAAGACGTTCAAGGAACTGATGGCTTGCAGCAATGGACTTCAAACCATAGAGGCCAATGACCTTTTTGCGGCTGAAGGTCAGAGAAATGCGGGAGCAGAGCTGTCTGTTCTGCTCAGTGGCAAGTGAGTCATTCGCAAGTCAAAATCACTTGTCGCGATTTTTGTTTTATCTCAATTTTTTGTCAAAATCACTTCGTTTTGTCAAAGTTTTTGTTTTATTTCATTTTTCTGTCAAAATCACTTCGTTTTGACAAAGGTTTTGTTTTATTTCATTTTTCTATATCAAACTATTTGTCCAACTTATGTCAAAAAAATTTTATCAACTAAATGCATTATCGCGATACCTGAAAAAAAAATGGTATGACAATCTTTTCGGGAAGCTTTATTTAAGGATAGGTTTCAGCAGTAGGAATTTGCTTTTTAAGGGAGTTGATTCAAAAGATGACAAAAATAGGCATGTTTTTTAACCCAAAATTAGAAACTTTTTTTTATTACGCACTGTTATAGAAAAATTATTTGAATGATGAGATAGTTCCAAAAATGTGAAACAGTTCCAAACACAGTTTTACATCATACCTCTAATGACTTTCAATACATAACCAGTAGTTATACGTTGTTGATGGTCGGAGGCTGCCTGCTATTAGCTATCCTAATACATTGAAAACCTATTTTCTATCTTAATACATAGCCTGCTGGCCTGATGTCTTTAGCCTATCTTAATACATGAGGATAAATGGCGGGTTGCATCGTGTTTAGACTAGTGGCCACACAGAATGAACAAACCCTGCACTCTATCATGCCGGGTCAGTTCATGGACTCGCCCGAGTGGGAAGCATACGACCCTGAGACCAAGCGCACCTTCAGGGTAAATACATATGCATATGTGTAATTAATCCAAATGACGGCAGTATTATTTTCTGTGACCGGTCATTTCCACCCTGAAACTATTCCCTGTATTTCGATTTGATATACATTATCAAACATAAGGGAAGTTATACTATTGGCCCTATTATTCGCTTGACTGATATACACAGTAGGGTGCCGAGGGGGTTGGGGGGTTGGTTATGACCGCTTTCCGTTTTCCGCCTTCAATTCTGGCTGCCAAAATTTTCCAAAGGGTCTCCCTTTGGTATAAATTTACGACATCCATTTTTGGCTGAACAACCTCAAAATTTGTCTAAAGGCGTCTTTGACGCCAATATCTAATTTTGAGGGGGGGGGGGGGGGGGGGGAGTTTGTATCGCGCGCTGAAAAAAGCATTTTTTGTCAAAATTTTCCAAAAAATGCCCAAAAAATGACGTTGACAAAATAGGGTTCGGCTCTCTTTCCTTCCCCCTCCCCCACCTCACACGAGCATCACTTTTATGGTCTAACGAGTGGTTTTACAAGGTTGATTATTAAGAACAAATATGTTTGTCATAGCCTAAGTAGTCTGCATGTCAATTTAAATGACAATCGGAAGTATATAGTTTTTTTTTGTATAGTTTTTTGCAGGTGGTA